GCGACAGCGAATCATTCGGCGATAGAGTCAGCACAGACTAATCACCCGACGGTCGTGCGCCTGCGTTTGGTGTCGCGGCTGTGGAGTTACCGAGGCACATGGCTTCCCCACACGAATGACATGCGCTTCAGCCGGCGCGACGGCCGTAACGTTGCGCGTCCGAGTGTCAGATATCTGCTCGGTTCAAGGCTCCTGTGCAGTTGTCACTCATACAACAAACTCTAAATCTCTTTTTCGGGCCATCTACGATCAGGATGCCTTTCAACACGGAGCTCACCAGGGCGCTCGGCATTAGAGGTAACTCCACCCGCACAGCAAACGAGACCGGTAGCTGACAGATGTAGTGCCCGTCGTTCAAGGTGGCATGCAATGGGTTGGATACGCTGAACTCGCTTCCGCTGTTAGCAACGCTGGGGGTCTGGGAATAGTACGCCTGGCGCCCATCACGCATCAAACACGTTCTCACGATTGCATAGTTGACCGCCCTTACCCAACCCACACCCGAAGACCTTCGCAAGGAAATCTGCCGATGCCGAACGATGACCAACAAGCCTTTCGGCGTCAACCTGACGCTCCTCCCCGCCATGGTCCCCCCGGATTATGCCGCATACGCCCGCGTCATCATCGAGGAGAAGGTCAACATTGTCGAGACAGCGGGAAACAGCCCAGGGCCGGTGATTAAGCAGCTGAAGGAGGTTGGCACCATCATCTTGCACAAGTGCACCACTATCAGGCACGCACAATCTGCGGTGAAGCTTGGCGTTGACTTCCTGTCCATCGATGGCTTCGAGTGCGCCGGACACGTTGGCGAGACGGACATTACCAACTTCATCTTGCTCAGCAGGGCTAGGCAATCGTTAGGCGGTGTGCCTTTCATCGCCTCTGGAGGTTTCGCCGACGGCCAAGGTCTGGCTGCCGCGCTTTCTCTCGGAGCCTGTGGTATCAACATGGGAACGCGCTTCATGTGCACCATCGAAGCGCCCATCCACCACAACATCAAGCAAGCCATCGTCGACGCGCAAGAGACAGATACCGCACTCGTGCTCCGCCGGTGGAAGAACACATCGCGACTCTTTGCCAACAAGGTTGCGCTGCAGGCTGTTGAGGTCGAGAAGACAAGCCCAACTGGCAAGTTCGAGGAAGTCGCTGAGTTCGTCAGTGGAAAGCGAGGTCGGCAAGTCTTCTTGAACGGAGACCCAGACTTCGGTGTAAGTCCACATCCCCCTTTTCGAGTGCGGTTCACTGACAAACCTAGGTATGGACTGCTGGGCAAGTAATTGGCCTTATCCACGACATCCCTACCAATCAAGAGCTCCTTGACCGCATCGAGCGCGAAGCCGTCGAGACCATGAAGCAGTCGCAATCGTTGTTCGTCGAGGAGGGCGAGAAGCCTGTCGCTGACGGCGCGTCCATAAACAAGAAGTCGAATAACCCTCAGGCTGAGGTTTGGGGCATTGGCAAGAGCAAGCTATAGATATGGATAATCTGTGTAGCATTACTCGGTCGGCGCAGGGAACGTTCTGCATGGAATAGAATTTTGATACCATGAGATCGAGGAGTGTTCAATTGATAGTGAGATCGTGAAGAAATGGGAACGCTTCTCAACCGAGAGGGTTGCTTCGTCAAAGGCATAAGCACACGCGCATCTCTCGCGTTCAAGCCGACAACCACTTCGCCACTGCAGATACCCACGTCTCCATCTTGAGTCACTATGACGTCGAACCTACACCATCGACTCCAGCTTACGCCATCCTACAAAACTACTTCACGGCTGTGTGTCAAAGCATTGATCAGAGACACAAATTGGTCAACACACGAAAAGCCAAACATTTAGACCTCTCCTACAAATCTCCACCGAAGCATACACACCATGTCTTCCCTAACAGGCCAAGAGTCTTCAAACACCCAACCCAAGAACCCCGTCAACCCCAGCGAAGACACAGCCGGCACATTCAAGGGCGACACGAGCGTTCCGTTCAAGACTGGTCAGTCGACTGACCCTGTTGGTTTGAGCGCGTCCGTGGACAAGGTAAGCTCCTCGCCTCACATAACACCTCATACCAACCATGCATCATACTAGAAAGGTTACATTCCCCAGGAAGATACTGACAGTCATAGGCTGCACCTGGCCAGCAAAACGCCTCGGGTACTTCGGAGCAGCGCCGCGGAGAAGATATAACACAAAACACTAGGCAAGACTACGAGGGAAGTGGCCATGTCGGGACCAAAACAGGAAGCGAGAGTTTGATTGACAGTGTGGAGAGGAGCATGCATGAGGGTGGTGCGTCGGATCGGAGTGGAGTGGATATTGGACAGATTACTGGCGGACGATAGGTTACAGGACTTGGTGGTACAGTAACAGCATCACAAGACGCTTGAATGAATTCATAATTGATTTCACGATCTTAGCTTTTCATGTGACTACGTTGGAAATCACCCTCTATTCCCTCTACCTCAAGATGGAGGTATACCTTGCGAACCCACGTTAGCCTCAAAGATCGGCCTAAAGAGACTACATCTATAATCAAGATCAGACTGCGGCAGCACAGTAACACCACTCCCCCTCACAGTTCCAACATCGCCAAGAACACCCAAGTTCCAATCTCCTTCTACGACAGTAGCATTCTGGTCCTGATATACTCCACCTGCCACAAAGTCATAGGCACCAACTAAGACATTACCCTCAGCACCCGTACCAATAGCATTCCATCCAGGTCCGGCATATGGGTTCTTCGCGAACTTGGCCCATGTACTCTGCATAACATGTGCCAAGGCGTACTCTTGTGTCGTCGTATTAGCAAGGGGATATGTGCGGAACACGAGAGGGATTTCCGAAGCGTGATAGGCACCGAGTTGGGGATAAGCTTGCGTGTTGGCGAAGGAGGCGTTGAAGTAGTAGCGCCAGGTGGGGATACCAATAGATGCTGTCGCATTGGCCCATAGTGCTTGTGGACACTGAAAGGTGATCTCAGTGACGATCTGTGAGATGACGTCGTAGTCGTTGGTCAGACCGTTGCTACCGATTGGGTATGCAGCTTCGATTGCGGGAATGAGTGCTGGTGCGGCGCCGAAGGTCGCTTGCAGGTAGGCAGTAACGTTTGTTTGGCCGACTGAGAAGACGCGGCCTTCTTGGGAGTTTGTACCTCCTAGTACTGGTATATGCGCGATATCGCCGCTAAGACGTTGTGCCGCTGGGTTAGATACCAAAGTGGTGTTGTCAGCAACTGGATTGAAGACGAGCGAGTTTTGATTGATAATGTTCTGCACAGTCGATGCATTTGCCGCTCTTACACATGTCAAGTTGCTCTCATGTGTTCCTGGGCACCCGAGCGTCGCTGTGAGATTGTTCCAAGCAGGAATGCTCGATGTTGCAGGAGCTGCGCGATAGCTGTACTGGCCACTTTGTAGGATGGCGGCCCGAAATGGTGGGGAACTGTCCTTGGGGAAGCTGGTTAAGAGCGCATCGATTGAGAAAGCACCCGCGCTCTCGCCGAAGATGGTGACTTTGGACGCATCGCCGCCGAAAGCATGGATGTTTTGCTGTACCCACTCGAGGGCAAAACGTTGGTCAAGGAAGCCGAGATTGCGTTCCGCTAATGGCAGCTCTGGTGAAGCAGGGAAGCCAAATACTGTGAACTGTTAGGTGTGAAACATGTGATTTGGAGTGTCGATAGTCACATACCGTTCGTTCTGTAGTTCGTCGTCACAACGATGACATCTTCGTATGCTGCGAAACTGCTTCCGTCATATTGCTCTTGACCAGCGTTACCGAACTGCAATGAGCCACCATAGATCCAGAACATTACAGCCCTGCCATTGCCGCCTGTGGGAGTCGATGGTGCATAGACATTGAGGTATAAGCAATCCTCCGACTCTTCAGGTGGCGGGTTATTGAAGACGGCCTGCGTGAACTGTGAACTTGACAACGGGTCTACCCCAATTAGCATATATCAGATCGCTTGCATGGTTTGCGTACATCGAAATTGTTGGATACATGCTGGTTTGAACTCCGTGGCATTGACTGGCTCTTGGAAGGGCTCTGCAGCTTGTGGTGGAGAGAATCTCTCGGGTGGTGATGCAAAGGGCACACCTAAGAACTGATGCACTGGTCCAAGTGCATGAGGAAGTGAGGTGGTCGTCCCAACTATGACACCCGCGTCGACAGTTGCGGTTGGTACATCGTGTCCGGACGCATAGTCTGCCCAGGTTGCCGTCGCGCCGCTGGATAAGAGCAGAAGGCCAACGGAGCCCAATGTAGAAGACGAGAACATGTCGGCGGCACTGTGGTATTACTACCCGTGAAATGGCATCAAGCAGTATCTCGACCACTTTATACAAGCCTCGTTTTTCGATAGACGCGAAAACCGAGGTCAACACTTTCGTCTCAAGCCACGTCCAGCTTGGCGTGCATCGCGCTGTAAGGTTTCCATCCAAACAAAATCACTTCTTAGTGCGCGAAGCCGAGGCTTAGGAGCCGTCTCCGCAACTAAAAAGCATAAGAGCGTCATGGCCAACCCGTGTATGCGGTTGCTATTGTGTAAACAGTGCAGCACGCGCTAATGACGCGTAAAGTTCGCTTGTCATCGTTCGACGGCTGCATATAGCGACCTGCTGGGGAAGAGCAGAAGGTCAGACAGTAGACTTAGTAGGCAAGATCATGCGAAGAAGCGAACCATGAGAGAAAGGAGACGCGAAGATCGTGATGAAGATGCGGGACGCGCAGGTCATTGCGGGGTGCGTCTCGCTTCCGGCCACCCCCGGCCCGGCTCCCAGTCCCAGCCACCAAGCCTTGCGACTGCCTGCCCATCCATCATCGCTACCGGGAACGCCAATTCTTCATCCATACTAGGCCTCTACGCCGATAACAATCTCAACCACCATCAGGAACTGCTCAGTTTTGATCCGGTTCGGCAAGATTGTCATTACTACAAGGTACCGCCACTAGACGCCTGCGCCTGCCCAAAGGATCGTCCGCCGCGCTCTTTGCTCAAAATTGTTTCTCACAACTTCTCGATATGTCCCTCACGCGCATTCGCGTCACTGAGGCCGAACAGCAAGTTGAGGGCTCCGTTGCGGTCTAGCGGCTCGTCGCTATAGAATATCCTTATCCCAGCAATTACCTTATGGCCAAGTTGGTCTCGATGCTGCGCAAGTAGCCAAGATACACCTGCACCGTGTGCTGTACCCAGCAGTGCTATGGCATGGTCACTGTTCATGTCTAGGTATAGTCCCGACCGCGTACAAGCTTGCGACTGGGGAGGTGAAGCGTCGAGAATACTATGAATGACAGCCAAAGTATCTTCGTTCGCGATGGTTTCTCTCATGATGAACTTGAGATCACGTACTTCTTCCTCTGGGTGTTGAGAGTGGGCCCATTGGTGGAAGGCTATATCGGACCAGTGCTTCAACGAGGGTAACAGAGTGGCCGCCAGCGATTTCAACTCCTTGGCCTTGTGTGTCGGGCTGTAGCTGTAGTTCACCACGAGAATTCCAGCTTCAACGTTGATATCGGACATGAACCTCACTTCGCTTGCGCCTGCAAGTGTTTCGCCAGTGATAACGTCTTTCGTGTAATCGTCTGTAACATTGATGAAGTGAGAGTTAGAACCTTGAATACCGAGACTGTCCAGCTTTTTTTGACAGGCCAGAGACAAATCGAGGCCTTGTTGTTCTCTTGTATCCCATTGCTCCTACTTCCCCGGGCGTGAAGTATGGGCTTTGCGTGACAGCAGATCCGCCATGCATTATTTTGAGCATCTTCTTGCCTTTCTCCACGGCAGTCTTGTAGTCCAGATTACTGATTTGTGAATTCATCGTCTTGGGCATGGCTTACTGTAAAATGTTATTGGGAAAGAGAGGAAGCGAGTGTTCTTCATATATGAGGCTGGTGAAACAATGTCTTCTACCTTCCACGAATCTCCAGTGGATCAAGCACGGGCTAGTTTCATGAGTGTTCTACTGTCTGCCATCTCATTGTCCGTGTGGCCTGAAACATTGCTAGAGCAACGCTCATTCTGCCCTCATAGCGACTTCCCTCGATCACCTTTCTCGCTGCCTGGCTTCGGAGTAACCGCGTCGCGAAGGTGGAACACCAAGCTTGGAATTATCGTCTTGCTCTTATGCCAGATTTCACGGCAGTCCACAGTTACCTTGTAAACTGTCTTATGGCCCAATTGCTGTTTATGCTGTATGAGCAACCAAGCGACTCCGGCTCCATTCGGTGTTCCTAAAAAAGCGGCTACCTGATCGCGGTGGTCAACGTCGAATGAGTGTGAGCCTGAAGCTTTGGGATGGGCTTGTTGTTTGATATGCTGGATGACGGCTTTTGTCTTTTCGTTTGTGATGCTCATTCGCATCACATAACGTAGGTCGGATGAGTCCGTGTTACGGCAGGCCCATTGCAGGTATGCGACATCTGACCAGTACTTCAGGCTAGGGACGTCATCGCCGACGTTATTTTTCTCCGTAGACTTGTGGCCGGCTTGTTTTAGTAGAGCGTTCTCGGCATCCGCTTTCGCTTTTCTCCAATCATGTATGGGACTGTACGTGTTCATGGCCGCAATCGTACCACCGGAAGTGTTGATGACTGAGTCGAAGCGTATCTGCATCTCAAGTCCTTCTTGTAGCGATTCTTCTATTGGTGCAACGCCGTGGTGTTCATGTGAAACAGGGATATTACTTGAAGTATTGATTCCAAGGTCCTCCAACAGTCGCGCCAGGATTTTGGAATCGTCCCCGGAGGACCGCTCAACCCAATTGTTCTCCAAGAGATCTTCGTATTTGAGGTATTCGCTTTCAGTTGGCGTATCTGTGTTTTTGAGTAAATTACCGAGCTCACCAAAGCTAGCTTCCAGCATCTGAAACAGCAATAGACCTTTCTTGTAAGCCGCCTCGTAATGCGTTGCCGGGCTGACTGAGGTTGTCATCGGAGAATGCTAGTTATAAAAGTGTCGCAGGCGGGTCGCGGTAGTACTAAGTATGTTGCTATCCAGATGCATTTATGAATTCCTTGAGTGTGAGACGTTGAGCGTCACGCGCATCGTCAACAAATGGTATGACGCGAAGCAGCTGACATGTAGCCTAAACTGTTCCACCCTTTGTCTAATTCGCTCAATGTAAAGTGAATGCAGATACAATCTTCTCACCTGACCCACTCTACACAATCCAAAACAGCAAAGTCGGCCATCTAAACAAATCATCCTTCTTTGCCGCATGGAATAAAGTCACCTTCTCAATATTCTTCTTACCAAACGCCTTGCTATGTTGGATAAGCATCCAAGCGACACCACAACCATTCGGCGTCCCCAAGATTGCCTTGCCTTCTTCAGTGTCCATTCCGAACGTGATACCAGGCCAAAACTCGAATGTAAACGTGCCATGCTTGCTGATAATATTGTTGAGCACCAGAGACGTCTCGGCGTTTTGTATCTGAACGCGGAAGACGTAGTTGAGCGGAATCGGCCGTACGGGTGGTTCGGGGAAAGAAGAAAGGTATTGTAGAAACGCTACGTCTGACCAGTGTCGCAGTGGCGATAGTCCTATAGCTTCTTCTTCCCATGCGTCATCAAATTTCGCTGCATGCGTGCGAGTGAGATTACTGTCTGCGATCAAGACACCAGACAGTGGGTTGCTGACTTGGGAGAAGTAGCCGTGTGTTGTCTGGTGGCTCATTAGAACACGCGTACCTTTAGCCCATCTCGAAACTTACCGTATCATCTCCTCTCGTTGCTGCTCCGTCGCAGTCATGCACATGATGTGTTCTCATGTTCTCTCCGCCATCATACACCATCTTGTCGCTGACACCTAGATCGCAGAGCGCATCGGCGATACAGTCGATTTCAAAGAACTTGTCTTGAGGCTTCAGAAGGTAGCCACGTTGAGCTAGTTCTTGTACCTCCTCGAATACGCTTTGAACTTGTGTCTTGTCCCTCGCGGCCAGTATCTGGAGTAGCCTAGTACCCTTCACGACAGCGGCCTCGTAGTCTTGAAATATCGGCAATTTTGTCATGGTAGAGATCTATTGGTGGATGAAGGAAGGGAATTTTCCAAGAGGAAGGTGAGAGAAGAAAACGGAGTTATGAAATCACTCCCGCACGTGAGAGTCGAATAACAGTGTTTGCTCGACCGAGCTTTACTTCACTCACTGTGTCACACGAACGCGGATCATTCGCTACTCCACAGCTCCTGACCGCACTGCCACCTTGTTGCGCCTACAGCATACCTCCGTCCCATGTTTGGTTATCGCATGTCACTTCTCATCACCCGCTTTGCCCTGCTCGCCATCTTCCTTCGCACCTTGAACACCGTCAGGCCCAGCATTCCATCCAAGCACAACACAAGGACACGTGAAACTAACCAAACATACTGCCCCCGCCGCCGCCCATCCTCCCTCCCCTCTGCGCCTCCTTCACCAACCACTCCCTCAAGAAGTCCTTATTCCGCATCTCCTCGGGCCGCGTCAACCTCGTATCAAATTGCGCCTCCTGTCTTGAAAAGGCCAACAGCGTCGGCATACTACTGATGCGGTATTTTATAGGCAAATCCTCGATCAACGTACTGTCCATCAACACTTCCACAAAGCCCAGTCCGCCTTCCCGCTCCCCAATCTTTTCTTCTTCGATGAGTTGGCGGATGAGCGGCTTGATGGCTTGGCAGGTTTGACACCAGGTCGCGGTCCAGAAGGTTATTAAAGAGCGATTGTCGGAGGCGTTGAGGAGCGTGAGGGTGTGCAGATCATTGGGTTGGCGGATGGGGTCGAAGATGCGGTTGGTGTGCGAGCGCGACGAGGGGTTGAGGAGGGAGAAGGCGCGTTTCGAGGTATTAGAGAAGGCATTGAGGCGGATAGCGGAAAGGAGAGTTGGTCGTATCATTTTGGCGGGCTGTGGGGTTGTGTTGGGAGTGGTAAATGGGATGGTGGAGGTTTGGGGTTTGTGGGTCGCGACGCGTGAAGGTTTTGGGGCTACGTCATCGGCTGCTGGGAGCTTGGGTCCACATCTCATCGCGTCTTCACGTTTGTTCACGCCCTTGCATCTCCACAGCTGGGTTCCGTATCATTTCATTCATCTCTCATTTGCGAATACATGTTATACATTCTCCTAGCGTGTAGGCACCTTCTGACTCAATCATGATCCGACCGATCCAATCCAAATACGCGCAGCCATAATGCCGGCTATCCCGAATACGTGATACATCTACTACAAATCACAGCGATAAAAGAAATATTCGAGCTGCAGAACGGGGTTCGTTCTAGTAAAATTCGGAAAAAGAGAAGGCGTTCGACAGCCTCTGTCTCTTGCTACGACGCGGCGCGTCGGCCGCAGCAGCATGTCTTCCATCCCGTCCAGCGGCTACATCATCCCACAAAGCGAGACCGTCACTATCATCGTCGCGCACTTTTCTTTTTGGACTCATCCGGTGATCTATGACGTCTAGATCCATATCCTCGACGTCTCGGTTGAGAGCTTCGTCTTCGTCCCCCATCGGTTGGTAATTAGTGCTGGGGTGATCATAAGGCGTTTCCGTTAGCGACACATTGCTAAGAGCAACGTCGTCGATCTGGTATACACGAATCTGCTCGACCAGATCATTTTCGCTTGTCTGGCCATGGGTAGATTCAAAACGACGACAGATTGGTACATCTTCGACGTTCTTCTCATCTGTAAGTCCTCTCGCGATAAGCCATTGCGCCAACGTCTTCCAGTCCAGTATACCAGCAACAGCTGCTTTCACTAGCCTGTATATGACTGGATACATATTATCATTGTAATATCCCTTTTCGTTGGGATGAAGACCCAGGGCAAGAATCCACGCGTTGATTATCGTATGGTGCCCACACTGCCAACCGCCGGGACGCTGCTGAGGCACAGGGATAGACCATTTTTCTGAATCGAACGTGACTTCCCCAGCAGCATTGCGGTGAGTTGACCATCCAAGGCCTTCAACCGCATTACGAACACACAGCATGCGGAAACCCCACAAGCCTTTGAAAATTTGTCGATGACTATCGACGAAGTGTATCTCGAAATGGGTATCGCCTGGAAGTTTGTCATCGTCGTCGTTGGAAACTTCTTGAACCAGTGCAAGGAACATATGACCATCAGCTCGACTATCCTTGGGCGGGTCCCACTTCACATTGTTTTCTTTCACCCACTTCTCTAAGTGCGACATTAGACCGCCCTTACTGATGACCACAGGCAGCAGCCAAGCTCTCCGTGGACGCGATAGCATCGGTTCGGCACCGGTGTCGTCTGCATCAGGAGTCATGGCCATTTGCAGATTGAAAGATGTTGTCAAAGCGAAGCCTCCGGCAAACGGTTGCGTAGAATTGGTCCGCCTGTGTAGGTCAGTCTGGACATTATCGATAGCCTCTAGAACCGATACAATGGCTAGATTGACCTCAGAATCGTCCATGAGACGATTGTAGTCATCCTTCGATGGCGTTATATCTCCAACTGCGAACGTTGCGAAGTGACGCTGTACATCTGCATCGTTCATGAAGCGAGAGTACGTGGTCATCGTATCTGCCTGTCTTTCTTTAGGATAACTCCTGTAATGGACTTCCATTTCAGTATAGTAATTCTCGAGATGGTGTCGTAAACGTTGCACTAGTTCGTCTCGCGTCAATTTCGCGACAGATCCGCTGGGTCGTAGAACGATACGTTCAAACCTTTGGTAGGGGATGTGGAACGATTGTTTGAAAGCTTGTAACACTTCGGCGCTGGTGTTATCGATATCTAAAACACCCAGTCGTTGTAGACGTGGAACATACTTTGTCCTAGTGGTGTCCGTCCATTGATCAGATGGAAAACCGCCTGGCTGGTTGTGGCGTCTACCGTTGAGACCTGGAATGCGATTACAGCGTCGTAATTTCTCCCTTTCTTCAGGCGTGAGCTGCTGCCGCTGTTGCCAGTATACCTGCTCTATATCGCCAAGGCTTCCCAAATCTTCTGCCATTCTGATGTCGTCTTGGATGGCATAAGTCTGGGCAAAACGTCTGTTCTCTGGTACAGAGCCATTCCGTACGATATCATGGCATCGCAGAAATGCGAAAATGAGCTTCCAGTCTGCCTGTCCCAAACGCACGAGACTAAGGACATCACGCAACTCATCAAAAAATGATGTTGTCCATTTCAGTCGCACCGCCGGGTTAAGCTCCAAGCCCAGCGCCAGTCCCCAAGCGTTGAATATTGCGAAATAACCACACTCACTCGTCCCTGGTTGAAGAGCGGTCTTGATCCAAGCCGCTCGAGAAGGCTTGGCTTTCACAAAAGTATCTTCATCTGCGAAATGCCGCCTGTACCAAGCCGTACGACATACCATCGTCCAGGCTGTCTCAAAAATATGGTGACGTTCAACAGCGTTGTAATGGTGGAACAACGAATCTAGGACCGAGATCTCTGGTGAGCCTTTTGCATTCAATTGCACAATTACCAGAACGAAATGCTCTTTCGAGTGCAATGGCATGAGTAGAGGGCGGCCGGGTCGAAGTGCGGGAGGCACAATCTCGCTGGGGTCAATGCCACCACCTTCACATAACTGAGCATATACAGGCGACACAACACTGTAACCCTCTTCGATACTCTGCATATCATTGACAGCCAGAGTGACCGCAGCGGTGTGGATGGCCACTTCGTCGTCGCGTAGCCATTTTCCAAACTCGGTCGTTACATTTTCGCCATTTCTAAAGGCTTCGATCTCTTCCTTGACTCGGTCGTTTGCCAGCAAGTCCTGAAGCGTGCGACGAAGATGTTCGCACGGTTGGAAGTCTTTTGCTGATGCGTCGTAGCGCTTGCGTATCTCTTCACGGGAAAGCTTTTTGTCAAAAGTACCGAGACGTTGGAGTTCTGGGATGCGAGCGACGGTATCAAAAAGACTCAGGTCCTCCGGGATGGGATTGTCGTCCGCAGGTGGATCCACCACACCTGCTACAACATGCCCACCTGTGGTGACTAGGGCTCCTGTCTTCGGGTCTTTTGCCGAGTTAGGCAACTGTGCAGGATTTGCAGCTGGACTTGCAGCTGCATCTGTAAGTGGATTTGCGGTTGGGTTTGCAAGTGGATTTGCATTGGGGTCTGTAGGTGTAGTATGCAAATGTCTGGTGTACTTTCCAGATTTGATCAGCTCGGGTATACGTGCTCTTCTTTCAGGTCCATCGTAATCATCCCATGGGAAGACTTCGTTGTGCGCTAATCCTGTGTTCACCGAAACCGAAAAGTGTGGGTATCTGAGAATGTGATGCGGCAATTTCGCCATCATTGAGTTGTAATTCTGTCCCCAGGCCTTTCTTCTCCGTTTCTGCAACATGGTCTTGCTTTCTTTGAACTTCCGCCGTTCACTAGCATCGACGTTGCGACGGGATTTGAATCGTCGCTCCGGTGGAGGTGCTTGGTCTGACAGAGTATAGCCAACGCAGCGCAAGAATGCCCAGATCAGCTTCCAGTCTGCATGTCCGTCTTTGATAGCTTCGATTAGGTATGAAGCTTGACTAAAAAAATCTTCCTTAGGATGGAAGTTATTGTTGAAAGGTAGACCGAGTAGTACAGCCCATGCACTGATGATTGTGAAGTAGCCAGATGTTTCGATACGCGTTTGCTGAGGCCCATCTATCCACTTCAGTGTCAGTATCTCGTTATCCGGGAACTCTTCCTTTTCAGCTGTCAAAAGGCCGCTTGATTTCAGTTGCTCATGGATTTTGGCGCGCTCGCCTGTCGTCATCGTCCATGGAGCAGAGTCAATCACCCTAGTAACGGCGACGTATTCGCTGTCCTTGCTCTTGCCTGTTTTTCTTTTGTCTGGTCTGCTCTTGCCTACTTCGCTCTCGATCGTATCGCTCTTGCGGGCTTCACTTGCGCTGGTCTTGAGCTCGTATTGGAGAACCACTAATATGAAATGTCCTTCATGTTGGTGAGACACCAAAACTACTCTGTTGCGGTCTCCCTGTGTACCTGAGAAAGACACAGTACCGGCAAATTCTGCGAAGGAGAAGCCGTGGTTAGATGAGAGCAAATCATTGATAGATCGCATGACAGCCTTGATACTATTGGTGACCTCTGATTCCGATAATTGGGGGATGTTCGCTCCCTCTTCCTCGCCCTCGATACTTGTTGCAATCAGATTAGCGTCAATGAGTGTCTTGAGCCGCTCACGAAGATGCACGCAAGGTTCAAAGTCTCTCGGGGCTGAGTCAGTATCCAAGTGCGGATTCGGCGGCGAGAGAAAGAGATCACTTCCATTGAGACCATCATCTGGTTGATCCTCTGTCATCTTGAAATTCCATTGGCCATCACGGACGATGGAAGTGAGGTTGGTCCGTTCAAGCTCGCTCAGTGAATCTGCAGCGAAGGCTTGATCATGGCGCATCCCATCCTCGAGTCCCAAAGTGACCAGCTCCATGTCAATCTTCTTGCCTTCGGCGGCGGCGTCTGCTGCCGTTTGGCGAGCGATCAGCTTCTGGAAGGAGCGGTTACAAAGATCAAATCGCCTTGATAAATGCGGAAGATTTGCCTCTTCATCATTCTCGCTGCCCTCGCCGGGCTTAACGAATCCGGTGCAGCGGAAAAAGGCGAGCAATAACCTCCAGTTCAACGTGTCTTGAAGGGCCAGGTCAAAGATTTGTTGGGCTCGGATGAAGAACGATTCGTGGCCATGAGCGCTGGGTGTGAACGACGGGTTTGGCGCGAGGCCCATCGCCAGCGCCCACGCATTCAAGACGGTGTACGTAAAGCTGCCATCGCCTGTCGTGACCTGAGCAGCTGGTATCCACATCGTGGCCTCGGGCAGGTTTTCTCCCATTTGATCTAACGAGTCAAAGACATGCCGCCACCATGTGGAGCTTCGCAAAGTCTCCCTAATGAGTTCATGGATAGCTTTCCGACTAGACAGCGTTGATCGCCACGTCATAGGATCTAAGACTTCGAGTGTGATGTGCTTGTCGGTATGTATTTGAGCAGCAAGCAACAGATGGTTTCCGTCCATCTCGATTGGTTGCAACAGCGTCCTTCCAGGCCTGAAAGTTTGTCCTTCATTTTGGTAACTGAATCCGGTAGCTTCCTTCTGTCGATAGTTTACCGAAGCAAGAATCCTGGGAATGAGCTCGCGATATCGACTTTGTTGATGAGACAACAGCTGAGTTCGCATATACGCACCAATATCTTTTATTGGCTCTCCTCCATCTGTGAACGTGTCGATGAAGTCATCCTCTGACTCTTGTTCTACCTCTTCTGGGACGCTCGGGTTTGCCGATCCCGCTGGCGATAGTGGAGCTCCAATAGGCCTCCATTGCACCCTCGTATTTCCCAAAGCAACATCCCCATTTCCATCGCGACGATCGAGCTCTTCTTGAGGTACCGCCCTGTGTGACGAAGTGTATTTCAAGCTTGCTGCAGTTCTGAAGAAGAACGCTGGTTGCGACAGTAGTTCAATGATTGCGTACCCTTCGAGCGGCCCAATGTAAAAAGGCATGGACGATGAGTCGTCACTGTTGGTGTATGTAGTTCCGTTTACTGTGACTGACGTATTGAGAGGGAGTTGAATGAAGTAACCGGCTGGGCTGCCATCCTCTGATGAGTTCCGTCGGATAAAATCCACATGTGCAGTCACATCGTTCACAGTCCTAAATCCAATCAGCTTGGCGACAACGAGCCACGTATCTGCACTTACACTTCCAAACGTTGGTCTTCATTTAGAACAAAAGTAGCGTTGTCCTCCGCTCTTGAGAGCACTACTGCAATGTTTGCATCATCGCCAAACTGCTGCTGGAAATGAGTGATGCTATGGCCCTCTTCCTTATCAATACTTCTACTCTTGATATCGTTGAACAGGTTGCGCAAAGACGCGCTGGGCCTGTACTTGTCTCCCGCTCGCAGATCTTTGCCTTGCTTTTGGAATACTGGCGTCCGGAATTGCGGATCTAACAAAGGTGCTTGTTGCGGACTTATCTCTTCTCGCGCTTTCTCATAGAGGATTTGGGCATACTCGGCTGCGCATTTCTCTTTGTAGATGTTCTTTCCCTTTTCTTTTGGTATGAACCAGTTGACATCGGTCTTGGTTGTATCGTCATCAGGAGTATCCTCTGATCTGGTCTTCTTCGCCTTGGGTGGGTCGTCACCATGTCCTGTCTTCTTCCGTTTTGGAGACATCTTGATAGAACCTCGATACCAATGGATGTGAAGTGTCAGACAAGAATAGAATTCAAGGACATGAGATTGGAACTTTGACCCATACAGGTGTCGCGTCGGATATATGCTGGGTATGTGTTCTTTGAAGAATGGCCCTTTGTCTACAGAGGACAAGAAGAACATGCCGGGTTTGCCAACATCACCCATGCTGTGTTAGTTATCTGAACAAAGGGAGATACCTAGCCGTCTTCCACCAGCAGGACAGTAATTAGAGAAAACCGTGCCAACATGAGAAGACGACAGGGTGCACACGGCCTATCTGGAGGAATAAAAGATATGAGACTAGTTTCATCAGTGCCGAATATGGAGGGAATCGATGATGATGAGATCATCATATTCGCCGATAGAGGCTACCAGAGTAATTTGTACACGTTATTTACAAACTTAAGTTGATCATCTCCAAGTCCTCTAGGCTTGGTGCTGGCGTGCTGGCGTCGACTGGAGTGTCCAAAGTGTATCATACGAACATAGACTGAGCAAGGCGGGAGGTCATGCGACGGCTGTCGACAAAGAAAAGAGTTCAAGTTTCGGCTTCGCTTTCATGCTAGCGGTTGATTTCTTTCATGGCGTTCGTAATGGCGGGCGAAGCAGTGAAGAGGACCGACACGTATCGGTGGTAGGGTCTCGATAGGGGTCTGCGAAACGTTTCCTCGCCACAATGCATTGTTTGGACCCTCCTAGAGATTGTCTCGACTCAACATAGTACTGAAGAGGCTATTGATGAGTACAACAGGTGCCTATCCAGCCGCCAACATGGACTTGGCCACCGTAGGGTCGTACACAACAAGCGCCGCCACTGGTCTCCGATAGCTCCGCTCGCTATAGGCCAGGTTGATGATGACGGGGCACCTCCCACTTGTATCCGCAGACTGACCACCGTCTTGTCTTATATAGTCGCATGATTTTGAGAATATCGATCCATCATGTTGAATACTGTAGCATTGTCGACATAACAATGACGGTCTGATGTGTGGCATCCGAGATCGACTTCCAGCTCAGGGCCAACACCAGATCGCATTGTGCGGATGATGTTGGCAGCGTCAACACAAGACGAGGTGTTGTTGTAATATGACGTCGGTTCTGCAGTGTAGTTGCAGTCGCTCGAGTAGGCCCAAGCGCTACTATATGTCTGCTCGTAAGGGTAGTCGTACTGAACATGCTCTGCCTTGATCTGAACAGCTGATGGAGTCATTGGAGTAGTATAATGCATCGCTGGATATGAGGCTGGTGGTGGTGTGCCCATACTTGATACCACGGATCTTGGACTGGGCGAATCGTTGCAACTGAGTGTTGTCGGCCGTGCAGATGGGATAGTAGCATGCGGCACTGATGGGACGTGTTGAGATAACGAATCGGCTCTGGTATATGAAGGTATAGGCGAACTGGTCGTAGAGGCTGTGTTGGTGTTGACCCTTGACTCAAGCATGGCCTGCAGTCTGGTGGCGGCAGAGGTGTGCTTGTAGTGTCGATCGGACGTCGATTCAAGGGCAGCGACAATCTCCGCTTCAGAGACTCCTCTCCTATGAAGAAGCGACCTGAGTTTTCGGTTCTCTTCTAGTACTTTCCTGGCAGCATACTGAATTTCCGAAGAGGCCTCGATGCCTATCTGTTCATAGCTGCGCAGTTTTGCCTCGAGCTCATGCAGATACTCCTTCCGGCGGGCGCGTGATCGGCCTGAAACGAGTACCGTTAGCGAACATCCTCGGTAAATCGAATGCTCACACAGAGACGTCTGGACGGTTTGCAGGCTGCAAGCTATCGCCACTCTTCATGGTTGGACAGCTGACAGCTGACAGCTGACAGCAGACGATAGGTCGTCGTCGTCCAAGGAATCCACTCACGTTGGTTGTCCCTGATCCTAGCGAGATTCTGTGCCTTCTGTTATGAGCCGTTAGCGGAGTGCTTAGGTGGTGATAGATGCAGACGTACAGATATTCTGCTGTTGTCACTCATGGTGATGTTTGATACGTAGCAAAGCGGGCGAATAGTGATGGATACTGAACGGGTTGGGAAGATGGCTTTTCAGTTGGGTGATCATCCTGAGTAGTATCATTCCAAACAGATGGCATCCCGTAGTCTTAAAGAAGAAGGCAGTGGCAGAGGGACGAGCAAGCCACCTGTGCCCAAGCGCGCTGCAGGCCTCATCCTGGCCACCCTGCGTAGGGAGCGTAAGGGTGTAAGTGGGAGTGTGCCTCGCCTCTGCTGCCGGGGTTACAAGCGTGGGAGTCTGAAGCGGACGGGCCCCCAGACGTGATGGTAGACCGGGATAGAGCGGTAATGTTACGAAGACGCGGCCGATCCTGTCAGTTCTTTCGGCGACCGGTGCTAGTCCGAACGTGACATAGCGCCGATTGCTAGCGCGCTTCCCTCAGCTCGGTGACTGCCCTTTTCAGCTTCAGCCTCGGAAATTGGGGGTGAACGAGTTTTGCAGCCGTCTCACAACACCACGTCGCATCATCTCCATCGCGAATTATCTCGCGTCATCTATCGCGCACTACCCACGACCCAGATTCCACCGCGTCGGAAACGTTCCGAGGACACGACAACCAGTCTGGTGGCACTCGACAAGGATCCCAATCAACAACCCCAGCATGGCTATTGGTCAACGAATAACGGCACCGTACGCCGGCCTTTTTGATCCCACGCGGTTTGTAACCTCGTGGATTCTCCCACCAGCCGCTCTCTTCGCTATTCGCGCGCTATTGGCCATTTACGCATTTACCACGCTCTTTTTTATCTTTGGCTGGAATGGTACCCACGGCAGGTCCGACGCTTCGCAGCAATCCTTCTCTTTCTTCACGGTTCTGACGTATTGGGGTCTCGCCTTTTACTATGCCTTTGCCGCTGTGCATACCGGCAGTTACTGGTTTACTGGAACTTCGTTTTTGGCACGATGGCCCAAAGCGCTGCAGGTGGCGCACAGCATGTTTTACTCTACCATTGTAGTCTATCCGTGGATAGTGACCAGTAAGTCAACTTACATAACACGTTTTGCCATAGCCGCGCCGGAGTACCTTGAGGCAATCTTGTGTTCCCTGCAATATCATTTTTGGGGAGCTGGCAGCATTTATTGTCTGAGCACGCTGAACTAACGTACAACAGTTGTTTACTGGACACTTCTTGCGGGTCAATTCCCCACCACCTTCGCTCTCTGGTCAAACACGTCACAGCATGCTCTCAACTCGGCGTACGCCCTTTTCGAGATAGTTATCCCCCGAACTGAGCGACTGCCCTGGCTCGACCTGATTCCAATTATCCTCCTGTTGGCTCTTTATCTTGGCCTGGCCTACCTCACGCATGCGACCCAAGGCTTTTATGTATACCCCTTCCTTGACCTTCAGAAGAATTCTTCTGGGCTAGTCGGAGCGTACATAGTGGGTATTCTGGTCGCCGCGATTATTATCTTCTTGATTGTCAGGTATCTCATCGTGTTGCGCGTCTTTGTCACTGAGAAAAAGCTAGGGAAGACTGGGAAGACTTCAACGCGTCAATACGCGGCGGGCGCTGATGAATATCCTTTACACAGCACCATACAAAAATAGCGCGCGTATTCTCGTCGACGTTGGAATCCCCAATGGTCGACTGTTATTACAATCGCGCCCTCAGACCGCTCGCTTCTAATACGCCATATAATCTAGTCTTTAATTCCTCTGTTACGTCACTCATTCATCTGCTGTCAACCGCCATCGACCGCTCTCATCCCCGTTGCTATCGGCTACTATTCCACCATGGTGATCACTGAATTGGTATGATTTGGTGTGGCGCACCAGTCAGATGCCCACCTCACAAGGCGACTCCTGCGCGGCTGTCTATTTGCTTCTTCCTTGTTCTGCAAATACTGTGTAGCGGCTGCCATGATGCCTATTATCGGAACCTGGCTGTCTCCGATAGTAAGCTGCGACGAAACCATCGGCATCAACGGCATGGGGTCTATGAGGATGATCGGCGAACACTTCGCGAAGTGCATTAAATCGCCCAGTTCATCCCACGTCAATCTCCTAGCTACCCGTGCGGGATGTTTGCTTTTGTGGCGACATGTCAAAGCTGCCACTCCGCTTTGGATCTGTGTTCATCATAGCCTCGTGTTTACTAGATGTGGGTCAATTGGCCGTAGTGGGTTCAAGAGGCTGTTAAGGTATGAGAGACGCCCCCACATACATGCATCCGGGCGTCGATCATGCTGCAACTCGAGATCAGCCATCCATGCGTCTTCCATGCGCACTGTCACAGCCGCCCTTCAGACTAGAAGGACGCGCATGTGACGAAGCGATAGCCAATGGACTACACACGTGAGAATCGGCTACCCAATCAATGGTAACACGTGAAAGCAAACGAAGGAACACTGACATGCAGCGCCATGATGGCGCATAGGCATTGAATGACATCAATCACCACCTCCATGGACCTTGATTCTGTCAGTAACGGAAACGCTACATGATGCCAGCACGAGCTTCTAGAAGCGCTTTAGCTTCGTCTGCCTGCAGCTGCAGGGCTTAGCGCTGAGCCGTTCATTAATTCGCGCAGGCCTGGTGCTGATTGGCCGCGCAAGAAAAATCCTACACTCAACAGTGCGTGCGCATCTGCTGGAAAGTCTGCGCACCTATTCTTCGGGGCCGCCCGGTCACGAACAACTGCTGCGTTACATCGGTCTACGGCATCTTTCACTCTTTACACGATACCAACATGACCCCTGACATGTAGCACCCCTCCTACTGATGCACGCCGAGAAAACTGAGAGCATGTGCCATGTACTAATCACTTAGCTATGATGGCGTCTGGCCCGGTCTTGCTCAATTCGGTCTGGTACTTCACTGCCATCCCGTCTTCGTTGCGCCGTCAATACTATGCGATTGCAACGCTTGGGCCGGCGGCTGTCAGACTCTTGGGCAGCAGTGACGCGACCACTTCATGAAATGTGGAGGAAGTCATCTCGAATCCCAGCTGTCTCATGGTGGAGTCCGGGGCTTTGATCTTGACTACGACAGTACGTCACTGGTTACTTAGGCAGCTGTGGGATCCAGTTTCAGCACCCTTAGCAACCTAAGTGCATGCTGCAATACCATTCCATGACTGTGGAGTTCATTCCCATATGTTTCTTGGACAGTACGCATGAACATTCAATACATGTAAGTTTCAAGGATCCCGTCCCGGTCCCGAAAAGCGGTGTCTTTACGGCACGTCGGGACTGGCCGGAGTTCTATCCTTCTGGCAGAAGCTTGGAGGCGTACCAGCTGCTCGCACAGACGCGTTCTTACCAAATGAACCCTGGAATCCAACCTGATGGAGACGGATTGCCGCTAGTTTTGTCCAGTAGTCGAACTTTACGCTGATTATCCCCAGGCTCTCAGCGTATTTGCCCCGAGAGTCAAGCCAGCGCTACATCGTTAATACCCATGGACGTTTCAAGGCCTCGGATGGCACTGCGGTAATAAATCATTGTATCCGTCTGATGATCACCGATGGCTTGCAGCATCGTCGCCAGGATCAAGCCCTCTAGGGTTTCGAATGAGATTCAAGAAGGCAGGTGCTTGCTTGCTCAGGCAAACACAGGTAGGTGATCGATCGGATGCTGTCGCTGATAGCGGCCGAAGAACTGGATCATCACGACCGGATGCGACCGACTGCCACAGCTCGACTACACAAGTGCGAGAATCTTTCCGGTTTCATTTCGATGCAGCTTTGCGATGGTGCATTCACCTCGCACACCCTCTACAAGCAGGCTACATGATACCCAGACACCTGTAACCCCGCCCAGGCGTAACCTGGTCACCTGGGAAGGACTTTAGTCCATGTACCACAATCATCGCTTTCTCTGCTGCTATCGTGACAGCGCTTCTGGCCCCAGGAAACATTCCGCTAGTCGCGGGGATAAACAGCATGTGAACGCGGAAGTCCGCTGTACTGTGGAGATACTCGGAAGCGCAGATGAACAGCAAGGATAAGGACCAACCCGTCACTACTATCGTTCACTATAGCGGTGTTCCGTCCGCCAGGTCCTTCGTATTCCTGCAGGATTCGAGTCTATTCCAAACGCCCCGGCCAAAACACGTTACGACCGTTCCAATGTTGCATTGACGTGGCTTGCGCATCAGCATACCACCAACGAGCGACACGCACATGCAAAGTGCCCCTGCGCTGCGCTTGCGCATACCGTAAGGAGTAGCGACATAGGGTGCGCATTGTTTGGATGCCGGCTCGTTCCTGAGCTACGACTGCAAAAGTACGAGGTCCTGCAGTTCTGTCGCATGTGCATGCGCATGTGAAGTTCGCGTAAGCGCATGTCAATGCTGGAAGCGCTTAGGCACGGCTCGAGCGTGGGGGCTTGACCGATGATAGGAATGCTGCGTGAGTGGCTCATTGTCGGACGCCGGAAATCTCGATATCGATCACCTTTGCTGAGTTTGCGAGAGTTTGCGGCACGTGCTGGGTGACTGTCTCGGTTGACGGACATTTGTTTACCTGGACATAACGAGCCCTTGAGGTTTGTTGCACGGAAGCGGTACCTAGGTATTGTGAATCTCCATGCGACTGTCAAACGTGCAGTAGTACTACAAAGCCCAGACTGTAGCCGCTAGATGCAGCCAAATTCCAACAGCATCTGTAAAGTCTCTCGATTTGCACTCGACACAGCGTACCAAGTTTCTCATCACCAACGTTGAGATCTCGAAAAGCGTCCCGAAAAGGTAAAGTTACCGAGGTAACTTGCGAGCACCTACCCCCTTCATCCCAGAACCATCTCGTACTCCCAACGGCAAGCACAGCGCACGATCAAATAAACTTCCACAATACACAAACTCTCTCGGAGTAACAAGACAACGGAACCATGATAGAGGTCGTCTACATCGTCCGGCACGCGGTACGTATTAAGCTCACCTCCGTCACCGCACTTCACGCCCTCCGATGCTTTTACACTGTAGTCGAGGAAAGTCTTCCGTTTCAGGCAGCTACTTCTGAGCCATCTCCGTCCTTGCATTACCTCCGCAAACATCTCGCTTGTCTACACCTTCGCGTGTATCACATGAAACGCCACCCTTCACACTCGCACATGCAGATCTTTCCCCTAGCATAGCATTCTTCTAACGTGTCCTCCGGGGTATCTAGTTTCGCGCCAACTGGTCCGTAGACCCCCAAACGGGTATCTACACCGCGTCCATGGCGACCCCGACCGGAATCCCCACTGATCCGCCTCTGACGTCCAAAGGGGTGGAGCAGAGTAAGGAGTTAGCCGAGTACCTGAGCAAGATCGAACCGCCAGTGGACAGAATCTATTCTAGTCCCTTCTACAGGTGTCTGCAGACGCTCAAGCCGTTTAGTGATAAGCTATTCAAGGAGGGCAAGGCAAAAGGAAGGATACGGATCGATCGCGGTATTGGGTTCGTGCACACTGAGTGACGCAGAGGTAGGTACTGTGCTGACGAGTGCGCAATAGCGAGTTCTTCGGACGCGCACATTTCGAACATCCTACTCCGCCGCACCTCGAGCTCCTGACACCTCACTTTCAGAACCTTGACGATGAGTATGCATCTGTACATATGCCAGGGTCCAACGGCGAGATGATCGTTGAGCTCCATGAGCGTGTCAGGAACGCACTTGATCACATTGTCACAACTCTAGACAACGACCCCGAACAGCCAAAGACTGTCTTGCTGTGCACTCATGCCGCGACTATGATAGCAGCCGGTCGAGTACTTACTGGACAGATGCCAGAAAACCCTGATGAAGATGATTTCCAATGCTTCACTGCTGGTCTGTCAAAGTACGTAAGAAGATCAGCCGATCCAGAGAAGGGCGTCGCAGGAAACTGGACTTGCGAACTAAACTCCGAAACATCCTTCCTCTCGGGTGGTGCAGAGAGAGGCTGGTAAGTGCAATGCTGTTTCTTTGTCGTTCTATCTCGTGCTGCATCCTTATAATATCCAGGTTCTTTCCCTATCACAGGAAAGACTGGCCAAGGTCAGAACGTACAACACACGGTTGGGGTATCGCGTCGACGCTTCTCAATATTCAGCTCCCACACACCCCAATTGACGAGCACCTCCCGATGACCCCGTAACCTTACGTCACGGCAAGTGGCTAACGAGCGATGATGACAGGCATTTCAGCGGCGAGGAAAGCTTCGTGGACTTCTCAGACACTGGCATGAAAGGTGACGGGGAGTCGAAACTATGAGGTTGCAGCACACTGTACTGAGGATGCATATGAATGCAAACTTACATTGCATTGCATACTCATGCGGAGGGCTATGATTCAATAGAAGTTTACCGTAACAGCTACCTTGTGTAAAATGAGAGCCCCATGCACTCGGCTCTACTTCACCCCTCCCTTGCTATAAATCCTAAGATCGACCGTTCCCGCCCGTCAAGTACCGAAAAAAAGATGTGCCGACCTGTATCTGACCCACAGTCGTTCTGTCGGCCCATCTTTGGGTTTGCGCAACGTTGTGGCGAGCACGTGGGATGTTTTGAACCCAGATGTGAGTCCGCCGCGCGGTTAATCGCTGGGGAGCGGGGCGCATTCAACCGACCCGAAAAGAACCCTGACCTGGCGAATTGGTTAAGAGATTCCGACGTTCGTGTCTGGGTAGGTTAGATATTGAAGCTCCATGATGAATTTTGGTGGGAAGAAGACGCGTTGGGTTGGTGGTGCACAGGATGGGGTGGGTCCAACAGCTGGGTAGGCGTGAGTGAAGATTACGGGAAAGAGTGACGGGACAACACCATGGCGACTGCAACGATACCTTCCACGAGCAGGAAACGAGCCTGGTATGGAGACTGAACGACATATCATACGTCGGATTGCCGTTACCAAAACACTAGGTATCAACCTTCTACCTATGGGTTCCTAACCCCATCATCATCCTAACACGCGGAGGTTCATTCGCCTAGTCGCCTAGTCGCCGTACATCCGAACTCCTCACCATCCTTGGTTTACTAGAACGACGGCCGCGTGCCGCCTTCTTACATGTTTTTCGACCGCTGCGACAATTACCTCTACGTATCAACGCGAACCAGACTCCGCGATGCCACACTACGAAATCCACCACGTTCACTTCCTCAGCAGATACCAAAAGCGGGAGCTTGCCCATGCACTCACGGCCCTCCACGCACGCCTCTTCGGCACGACCCCATTCCTAGTCCTAGTAACCTTCCATCTCGCCTAGAAGGCTACCGGGGGTGGCCACACCGACTCAGACACGCAGTACATGACGCTCGGATACCAGCGCGTCTGGACCAACTACATCAATGTACACTTGCAACCCAGCGCCAATACCAACCCGATCGAAGAGAAGCAAAGGCTCAATGTGCTGGCCGAGGGGATCAACAAGATGTGGAACAAATACGCAAGGCCCCACATGGGCCGGCTTCGTTTCTGGATATCGGACAGGCGCCGTGAAGAGATTGCGAATGCGGCCGATGTGAATGCGCCGGCGACGTTGCGGGACATCAGGTCGCTGCATGATGTATTTGTCATGTGGGATGTTGCTGTGCATGTATCTGTGGACAAGATACGTGAATGATGCGGTTGCGGTCCAAGACAGGGCTAGGATTGGATGCGAGGCGATGCAGAACTTCGTTGGGCAAATTGGGGAGCCGGATATGGGGATCGTCCAGGCGCGTAGGCTGGGAAGACTGCTTCGGATTTCATGGGGACCTGAGGCCAACGTGTGAGCATAAACAGCCTAAACCTTCTGGCATTGTGGGTATCTTTATCCAACGCCATCCTACCATGCTATCTTCCCAATCCATTATGACCTTTACAACTCCAAGACATTGTCCTAGGCGCTCTTTTTCTCCGGTTTCGTATCCCCATCTTCCTCTTCCTCGTCAACATGCATGCTTTCTGCAAACCCGACCCATTCGTTCATTCCCCTAACGAAGGCATCTCCACTTCCATTCACCTCGCCACCATGACCCCATATTATGACCTCGTCAAACTCTCCTACTTGTTCCGCGATCTTTACTTCCACGGGCATGCTCTCTTCCACCTCAGCGTCCTCGTCGTCCTCATCTGCAGGCTGTTGCGGTTGCGTTCGCGTTTGTGATAATTGCTTATCGGTCACATGCAGGATAGCGCCGGTGTAGTTCTGAGGGAGAGGTAGCGTCGTGCCGTGGAGGTGTCGACCGCGGAAGTATGCGTGTCGCTTTCCTAGATGGACGTTAGGTCTGGTATCCATACCAATGTTGGGTTTGAGAGCTACCTTTTTCATCTGTTTCAGGCTTCCAGTATCGTTCTGCGTCGTTGATGGGTCCATTGTGGTTTATCCGCGCGGGGAGCAGATTTGGTGTGCATTTTTGAGGTTTGGAGGATTGAATCGACAGCATGTTGATGGCTTGTTGATATCGGCGATTGTGTGTATGGTGAACTTAAAGTACTCTCTCGACTGTTCAGCGATATCCTAATTCGATTGCATGGAAGTATGCCAGAGTGCAGCTGAAAGGTGGCTTACGGAGCACGCGTCGACGCGCCGTAGCGTGTCTCCGCGGAGCACGGACCATCTTTGAACGGGGTGCTCACGAGCTCACAATGACGACGGAACCGCAGGCAAGCACACGGTCTTGGCTTGATATGATGAGCTCCCCATCCATCCTCCCTCCTTTACTCAACTCTGGACATCACCACAGTCTGCCCGTCGCCAAGTTTACGCCTTCCAGGTCCCTTCTAGTGCAGCCCGGAGCCCGCGGCCGCCGTGGCTGTAGATTCACCGATCGGCCAGATGCTACCTACCATACCGACTTCTAAGGCCCGCAGCGCTCATGGAGAGCTCCAGAATATACATACTATTTGTTATCGCTGGCTGCCTTGACTCGAAGTAGACCTGCGATTGCAAGGCTGAGACGCGTGATGAGTTATGCCCCTGCATAACTTGCCCCTCTCACGCATGCCGGCGGAACATTTCTATGGACCCTGCACCGCAGCTGTCTTCACCCACCAACGTCTTATCCCACCATTACCTGAGCACACGTACTAGCAGCCAGACGCCAGGAACGGATATGAATACGACGGCGTATTGCACCGGACGCCATTCGGATGGCCTCGAACTCCGCGAACATGGAAGGATTACATTGATCTTACGCCGTTCGCGATTTTTAGGCGGATCGACGGCGTCATAGATCACTCGAATTGGCAAGGTTTCCTCGCCCGATACTGCACCTCAGACAGAATGCAACACGCATGGCTTCGAAACGGCGCAACCGGACGCACCGTGTCGGCTTTCGGCCGTTCCGGCGATATGACGGCGAGCTACCTGGACTCTCAAATGCACTCTGGCGCCATGTACTAGCCGAACAGCTACCGTTACTCGACTTTCTTCTCAGTTTTGCTTCCAGGCGCGTTCACGATACCATTGTCGCATTGCTTTTGGACGATTGACGCATTAATTTCCCTCCACCGCCAGCCCACCCTGCAGCTTCCTACCGTGTGACCAAGCTCAGTCCGTTTGAGACACCCTCATCCTGCGAATCGCGCTGAAGCCACGCTTCTCTCAACTAGGAACTGTCCAGTACCCCTACTTTCCGCTCGAGGACCCTCCAATTGAACCTTCAAGGCTTGCGCGAATCGCACACATCTTGAATTATGGCGATTATAAGCTCTGTGACGGGAGCCGTGTCTTCACTACTTAGTCCAGTCACATCGCAAGCCTGGGGACCACTGGTGAATCTATGCAAAAATGGCACTCTTTCGCAATTTCAGAACCTAAAGCATGGCAAGCTGGTGTTGTTTGAGGGCGGCTCGAGCAAGGCTACTGCGGCGTTTGGATCTGATAAAGAAGGACTCCCAATCGCTTTCCTGAACGTGCTCGACGAGAAGTTCTGGGTGCGATTGGCACTGTTTGCAGACATGGTGCGCCCCAAAACACTCATAGCCATCCGAAAGAGCTCGCGCTGATAGGTGCCAGGGTTTCGCAGAAAGCTACATGCTGGGAGAATTCACAACTCCAGACCTAACCAAATTCTTCGAGGTAAGCTGCTGCATGGACTGAGCTCGGTCACACGCATTCAGCTTACATTTATAGCTCTTCATCCTGAACCGCAATTACCTCTCCAATGGTTCAACTTTCACCTCCGCAATTTCCTCTGGCCTCGCCGGCTTGGTACGAGGCAGCAACAACCTCAAAAACGCGCGCCTCAACATCTCCGCACATTACGACATCTCCAACGAAATGTTCGCCGCATTCCTCTCCCAAGACATGACTTACTCGTGCCCGATATGGCTACCGAAATCGAACCCGAAATCCGCAAGCGAAAGCCTCTACGACGCACAAATGCGAAAGCTCGATCGCTTCATCGACAACACACACATCAAGGGGACAGACCACGTTTTGGAGATTGGCACAGGATGGGGCAGCTTCGCCATGCGTGCTGTACAACGGACAGGCTGCAGGGTCACATCCCTCACCCTCTCGATTGAGCAAAAAGAGCTGGCAGAAGATCGGATACGAGAAGCTGGTATGTCGGACAAGATCACAGTGCTTCTCTGCGATTACCGCAGTCTGGAGGTGCCGGAAACAGGACCCTTCGACAAGGCCGTCTCAATTGAGATGCTAGAAGCTGTGGGCAAGGAATATCTGGTCACATACTTCAAGTGCATAGACAAGCTTCTCAAGAAGGAGGGCGGTGTAGCATGTTTCCAATGCATAACGATGCCCGATGCGCGCTACGAAGCGTACGCCAAATCTGACGACTTCATCCGCCGATACATTTTCCCCGGTGGTCATCTGCCCGCCGTTTCCGAGCTCGTGGCCAGTATACAAACCGCTTCAGGCGGCTCGCTCGTCGTCGACAGCATAGAAAACATCGGCCCCCACTACGCGAAGGCGCTGCGGTTATGGCGAGAAGAGTTCTTGGACAACTGGGAGGGCAAGATCAGGCCGCAGCTTATCAAGGAGAAGGCCAAGGAAGGAATGGACGATGAAGGTGCGGAGATTTTCAAGAGGAAATGGGACTACTACTTCCGATACTCGGAAGCGGGCTTCTCGACGAAGACGCTGGGTGATGTTATTATTACAGTTGGAAGAGAAGGCGCTATGCAGATGATGGAGGATGTACCATTGTAGATAAGGTCCTCGTCACATGCATGGAGGCGAAGGAATGTGATTGTAAATGTTTGTTCAATATGACATATACCCCCCTCTGTGGTATCACTGGGCAGTGTAATGCCGGGAAATAATG